TCTTTTGACCTGTATGATGTAGAAGCTTTAAATTTGGAACACAACATAACATTCAGAATATCAATTAACCTATGCAAAAGAAATTGAGGTGGGCGTAGCACATCCGGGTTAAATTACTCATTATTGACAATTTTGGCAAGGGACATAACTCGCAACGTTTACATTTGTTCAAAATGGAACTTTGCATACAATTACTTCATTCGTTGAGCCACGTTGTCTTAAAAAGTTCGATTGTTTCAGCTTTATAGTTCAAAAAAAGGAACAGGTTTTGAAAATTCAAAATTTTCAATTTGTGACCTTGACCTTTTTTGACCCTGATTTTTGTAGGATCAAAGGTCATTCACATTGGCTATCTATTTATACTTTTATATTTGCTGTCCTATCTCAACTTCCGGTTTTATAGCCGTATATAATTAAAAATTTGGATGACTTGTATCTCGTAACCTTGACCTTTGTTGACCGTCTCCCTTTCAATGTCAAATGTCATTGACCTTGGCTATCTTCTGATACTTTCATTTGTGAGGGCTGTCTACTTCCGTTATAACAATCTTACAAACAATTCTTCTCAACTTTAGACTGCTCTTGCGCGTGATGTAATTATCGTAGAAGGTTGATTTTTTCAGAGTCTTTAGCATTTTGCTACATTTGCAAAGTCCCACTCTGTGCCACGTGTGGCTCTAGTTTATTTATGATTTGAGTGTGATCAAAATATATTGCTCTTGTTATTTTAGCCTTTTATAGATACTAATTATGCTAGTTTAACATGGAGTTTCTTTAAACAATCATTTTTAAAACAGATACTGACAGAAGGTGATTACCAATTGTTTTTTTCACAGCTTTCATTTTAAAGTCCAAATTTGGAAAGTTGACCCCCATTTCCAAAATTAGCTGTCCTAATGAAGAATGCTATTCAAAATGTGTGCTGCATGACCTGCTGTTGACCGTACTCTTGTTAATAGGTTTTGTTACTTTGCTCATAAGAATCACATCAGATTTTGGAAAATTAATTTTCTTTTATAATACCTGTCATTGAACTTATTGTAGTAGAGCCCAATAATTCATGACCTTGATTTATTGTAAAAAGTATAGCAAACAAACTTTGGCCTTCTGGACTTGACTAGAAATGAAATCTAAGGTATACAGGTGTATTGTATATAACCTGATATTATGTTATTTTATTCCAGGTGAAAAGTTTGTTATGACATTTTTTGATGTTTTAAGTTTTGCTGATCAAGGTATATGCCACATTTTATATGCCCAGTATTTAAATTTGTTGGTGCAATATCCAAGATAAACATATAAAAAACAGGCCTATGTATTTATATAGCACATATTTCACTTGAATCCCCAGATACACTTTACAATATAGTATACATTTTAAAATACATACACATATATAGAAGAAAACTAGAGTAAATACATTGGGTAATATATAAGATAACATGTAAGAAATATAGGAAGAAAAAATTAATAGAAAAATTTAAAAACTGACCATGATGGATTGTTTCTCAGTGAAAATGGAAGTTTATTCCAATTTTAGGAGCCCTTATGGAAAATGCACGCTCCATGTATCTTCTGCCTAACATTACATTTAACAAGAAGAAAAATATGCCTCAAGTTGCCTCAATAAATAAGAGAAATAGCTTGTGTGAATACAGTTGCATTTATTTGTTTTGATCTTTTCTGATCTTCCACAACAAGAAATGGAAATACAATAATGAAACATTTTCACTGTTAAAAAAAGTGCTCAATACATCAATTGTAGAGTTATGTGAAAATATTAAAACAGAACTTGAATTAATCAGTGTCTATATCAGGCCTACAAGCCAAAGTAGACGCAATCAATTTATTCAAGGGCCATAACTCCAAACCATTCATCCAATTTTTACCATTTTGAACTTGAGATCTCATCAATATATACATACATACCAAGTTTCATTGAAATCAGATAAAAACTGCACTCTGTATCATGGCTACAAGCAAAATATGAAGCGTTTTTACTACGTCAAGGGCAATAACTCTAAAACCAAATTCAAACCTGACCGAGACCTTATCAATATATACATGCATACCAAGTTTCACCAAGATCAGATAAAAATTGCAGCCTTTTTCATGCATTAAAGCCAAAATTAACGCATTTATACTAAGTCAAGGGCCATAACTCTGAAACCGTTCATTCGATTACTTCCAATTTCAAACTTGACCAAGATCTCAACAATATACACATGCATACTAAGTTTCATCAAGACCAGATAAAATTGCAGCCTTTATCAAGCATACAAGCCAAATTTAACGCGTTTTTTCTAATTCAAGGGCAATAACTCTGAAACCATTCATCAGATTATTACCAATTTCGAACTTGACCGAGATCTCATCAATATGTACATGCATACTAAGTTTCATCAAGATCAGATAAAAACTGTAGCCTCTATCGTGCATACAAGAAATGTGGACGGACAGATGGCAATATACGTCCACATTTCTATGTGGGCGTATAAAAACTAAGCCCTATTTTGTATGGATTTTCCGCACTTCCCAAGGTACAGGGATTTTAAACCTATTTATTTTAATCCAATTCTCACAACCCAGATATTTTTAGTCCAGATAACATGTCAAGAAAAGTACTACGGTTGATATTTCAGGTATATATGATGTAATAAATAACCTGGGTTCAATGGCTGCAAGATTTATATTTTTACCTATAGAGGATACTGGATATCTTTTCTTCTCTCAATCTTTAACACGAGGTAAACCCATACATCAGCAAAAACAGGTATGCATATTTAAGAAGCAAACTTTTTTTTTTACTCAATCTGCTTTTAATTATTCCTTGTGTGCTATTAAAAAGGGATTGTATAGTGGTTTTTCAAACTTGTTATTAGCATATTTTTGGATAGTGATGTCATTAAATGCCTAGTTCTAACAAATATGAACTTAGTGTATTGGAAATACACATGTCATTATAACTACTGGTAAATGTTTTATGACATCACTGTGGCAAAATCTGCTAATAATATCAAATGTCTTTACCATAGTGATGTTCAAATCAATATCAGTGTCCTTAATATACATAAAACATTTTAAAAAACCTCTTTAAAATCCCTTTTCAGCCTCCCAAGACTGATAATATGTCAGCTTTATAAAGCACCGTAGACGCAAGCCTCAAATGGAGCGTCAGAGTTTTTACCCCAATAAAATTTTGGATAATAAGAATTAATTTGTTGCATTCTGACACATATTATAAATCATAAACAAAAAAGGAAAAATATCATAGTTTTAAATGTGTTAGAAATTGATGGGGGTGCAATCGGCTGTACACTGCCTCTGATTTAACAATCCATTTTGTTACAGGAATGAACATAGCTAATGATTGTTCCTTATGTTCTGAACCATCATCAAAATGAAAAGGACCGCCAATAAACACTGATTTCAAAATACATGTAACTTGTAATTGTGATATTTCAGGAAGATGTCAAATTCAGTAGTGATGTCTTAAGTTTATTTCTAAAAATAGTGACATTAATAGGGTGCATCATATTAACCTTTGGTTACACCTATTCTTATTTAGCATTACATTTATATGGTGGAACTATACTTACTGTCGGCTCAGGTTTGTTTGTTCTCAAAGATATTGTCAGAAATGGAATTTGGTTTGTTTATACATGTACCTAATTCAATTTTCATTGATGTATAATGCAAATTTTATTGATACAAAATGCCAATTTTATTTATACAAAATGCCAGTTTTATTGATACAAAATGCAAATTTAGCAACAATGCAGAAATGTAGTTTTCATTCATGTCATTTGTCTAATCAGGTTAAAACATAAATGCATTTGAGAAGAACCAGAAGAAGAAAATAGATTAACAGCACAACATATTTTATCTAAAAGTTTGTAAAGAGAGATATAGGGTCAAGGGTTTATTTGAAATTCTAATTTTGAGTGAATCTTCTTTCTGTTAATTTAAGATAAACAAATATTCAATGTTCAAATATTTATTTCAGGTCCAGTGTTATTAAAATGGTATTGTCTATATGTATTAGTTATAGCTATCAATGGTACTACAGAAGGCTTCGTATTTGCTGCCATGTCAAAAAATGATGTAGATAGGTAAGGTCTAACAAAGTTAATGTCATTTAATATAGAGTTCACATGTCTTTGATGTATTTGATGCAGGGCTGTTGATTTATGTGGTGTATGTACGTTTGTATCCATTGTAGACTAATGTATGTAAATCCTACATAAATAATTTTTTTGGTTTTGATCACCTGTATTTATCTCTTTCAGATATAATCACAAGATGTTATTATTTTCTGTTTTATTTTTACTATCTTCATGGTTTTTAACTAAAACAATTGGTAGTGTAGGTTTTATACTGGCTAATTGTTTAAATATGGCTGCAAGGATCATTCATAGGTCAGAATAAATTTTAATTAATTAATTGATTCCCACTACGGGAGGATGGAAACAAGGCTTATGGACACTAAGCACTACCTGTTGATTTTGTTATTGATCTGTTCATTTGGTTGTATGTGAAAATCAACGGTGTTCATTAGTGACTGAACTGCTGAACATTATTTGATAGTTAACAGGTTTCTTTCAGTGTAAAACAATAATTGTAATGTCTACTATGCTATTTTGATAAGAATAGCTTTAGTTGTGATATCTCTGATTGTGATATTTGGTTGGATTGTGATATATTTAAATACCACTAATTAATAATGATTTTGTTGATGATGATTTCTTTTTACTCTGATAGCATGTATTATTGATCTTAATAATATTTGTATATTACAGTATGATATTTATTAGAACATATTTTAAAGAGAGTAATTATAAACCATTACATGATATTATACCTTCGTTACCTGTTAATGTTGTCATATTGTTATCATTTATTATCACCTATCTATCAGAGGTTTGTATTTCATTATATCTTAACCCTTTGATCACTGAGTGTAAATAAAATAAAACGTCATATACCCTGACCTTCAAGCAATAAAACTAAAAGCACATGAGGTTAATGTTGTGTGACGTCACTTGGTATATTTTATTAATTATTATATATATTATGAAAAAAAAAAATTCATTGTTCAATATTTACATTTCTACTATCATTCCCTTCAATAAACCAGTTAGCCAAACGAGTGTTTATTTATAATAACTGTAGTTTGTCACGTGACAATTAGGTGTATGAAGACATCGAAAACGAAAACAAGGATTGACCCAAATTTTTTATCTAGAGTCTATTTAAATTTACAATTGTTGTTAATATTTCAATGGAATAATAAATATTTGATAATTCTGTCATCCAAATAAGACTGTTGATTCATAGAACTATATTGTTAGGGGCAGGGCGGTGAACTTGATTGACAGATATCGGTTTCGGGTATTTTACAATTACGAAATAGAACATTTTGGAGTATTTTATCAGAAAAGATATACCAATGTATATAAGAAATGAAAGTGGATCTTGTTATTGTTATGGAGAAATAAACGCCGGTTTATCATGTGACAAGGTGTACATGATCCGCTTCAAAGTTATTGAAAATTAAGCATTTATATAAAGAAAATAAGACACATTTTCAATGCTATTTTCTGCTTTATGATTCTGTTACGATTCTGTTTTTTCTTGCAGCAAAAATTTTGTAATGGTGATGTCTTAGGTAAAGTGTTACATGTTTTGATTGGAGGAGTGTGTTTACTGGTTACCTTAGCAACAATATTATTTACAGAAAAGAAATTAATAAATTTTATAGAACAACAATATTATTTAAGAAAAGCAAATAAAAAGGAATCATGATGAATAATTTTGTTAAATCATTCCCCCTATTTTCAAAATATAAAAATTCTCTCCAGGTGTCCCATATTTTACATAGGCTACAGTCCTAGAAAACTTTATCATGTAACCATTACTTACATCTGGAGCCTTATTCTTGAAAACTTAACCAATATAACATCCAGAATTTAAAAAATAATGTAATCCGATTGGATAATAAAACTCAATTTAAAATCAATTCTAATAGTTGATCAAGCAGATGACTAGAACACTTAAATCATCTTAATTTAAATTTTTTGAGAATAAGACCCGCCCTATTCTTCTTAGTTTATTGTACTTGATTATCTTGTCCCTTTCCTTACATATATCTAGCTTTCTGTTTCCTTACATATCTCTAGTGTTCTGTTTCCTTACATATCTCTAGTGTTCTGTTTCCTTACATATCTCTAGTGTTCTGTTTCCTTACATATCTCTAGTGTTCTGTTTCCTTACATATCTCTAGTGTTCTGTTTCCTTACATATCTCTAGTGTTCTGTTTCCTTACATATCTCTAGTGTTCTTTTTCCTTACATATCTCTAGTGTTCTGTTTCCTTACATATCTCTAGTGTTCTGTTTCCTTACATATCTCTAGTGTTCTGTTTCCTTACATATCTCTAGTGTTCTGTTTCCTTACATATCTCTAGTGTTCTTTTTCCTTACATATCTCTAGTGTTCTGTTTCCTTACATATCTCTAGTGTTCTTTTTCCTTACATATCTCTAGTGTTCTGTTTCCTTACATATCTCTAGTGTTCTTTTTCCTTACATATCTCTAGTGTTCTGTTTCCTTACATATCTCTAGTGTTCTGTTTCCTTACATATCTCTAGTGTTCTGTTTCCTTACATATCTCTAGTGTTCTGTTTCCTTACATATCTCTAGTGTTCTTTTTCCTTACATATCTCTAGTGTTCTGTTTCCTTACATATCTCTAGTGTTCTGTTTCCTTACATATCTCTAGTGTTCTGTTTCCTTACATATCTCTAGTGTTCTTTTTCCTTACATATCTCTAGTGTTCTGTTTCCTTACATATCTCTAGTGTTCTGTTTCCTTACATATCTCTAGTGTTCTTTTTCCTTACATATCTCTAGTGTTCTGTTTCCTTACATATCTCTAGTGTTCTGTTTCCCTTGTGTTTTGTCTGTCCTCTCGAACATCTTTTGATTTGCCACAGTCCCTTGTATATCTTTAGTGTTGTGTCCTATGCCCTTGAATGTCTTGTTCCCCTGGTATTTTCTCTTGAATTGCTTTAGTCCTATTCCCTTGCATATCTTCAGTTACTGAAGTTCAGTGTTTTGTCCTGTTAACCTGGTTATTTTGATTGGTGCTTAAGCTTTGTGCATATAAATTGGTAAAAGTAAATTTGATTTTATAAGAGAATTGGAATATCAGCTTATTAAAACAGTGATGTTGGTCTACAATATGCATGGTGTCTAAGAATGACTTTATTTACCCTCGTCCTGCCGACGAACCCCTCCCCCATCTCCAGAAATTTTCAACCAAGTTTTGAGATTTCCCGTCGATCTTTACACTAGTTTTCAATCATTATTGGCTCATAAATAATAATATTATTAATATACACTGTAAAACAATGATAACGGGCACCTGCTCAGATCAGATTGTCAAGACGTAATGATGTGTTTGATGTACGAAATTCCGATTAATCAAGACTACACCTGAACGACGGTAAACAACATGGCGGATGTAACTGTCCATTAAACAGAAAATAACGGTAAATTTTGTTTTAATTTCTCAACTTTAATTATTAAATCGACAAGAAAACACTGTTTAATCCGATTTCAGTTATTTAAAGTTAATCGTTTTGACTTTGCAACACCATTATATCTGATGATGACAGTAGGCCTATATTGTTGAATTTAATGGTTGAATTTGTTTTGATTGCAATGCCAACAATATGGCAATAATAATATAAATGATTAAATAGGCCTCCCAAGGGAAGTGTGGAATCAAAAGCAACAAATAGATTTTGATCTATTATCTAAGAAAAAGAAGTTACACTTCCATTTAATAATGAACATAATTTAGATCAAATCTAGATGTTATTTCATTTAAAATTAAGATTGATGATATATATAATGTTTATTCAAGTAAATAAATGAGGTCATGGTCATCTAGAACTAGGCATATTATCATATATGAGTATGATTTTAGTTCATTGATCAAAACATCACAAATATGCAATTGCTAAATTTGATCTATTTGTACTTAATAAGATCTCTTTATGTTTGTATTTTCAGTGGTTCCCAACCTTTTTCAGCCTTCACACCCCCGGAGCAATCCTCTGGACCTTTCACACCCCCAAAAATTTGTTTCATCTACATTTCCAGCATGTGATGATGTGAAGTGCTCTCTCAATTCAAAATGAATTATTCTACACCAGTTTGTCATACCCCTGACACCCTAGTCCCACTCCGCCAAGGGATGTTGTTGGGAACTGGGGACTTAGATGGAATGTTTTCCTGATAAAGGATCCTACTATGTCTTTCTGTGTAGTGCTGATGAAATGTGCAATGAGCACAATTTTAGCAAGATCATAATATTTGCAATTTTTCCAACTATTGAGTACATGAACATAGGTCATGTAGGAACATTATAACCTTGAAATGATATACATTGGTGTTTTTTTTTAAACAGGCTCTGAAAAATATTTTGATTATGTTTTTATTAACCAATGAAATAAATCAAATTGCAATTTATTAAAACTATTTCTTCTAGGAGGAGTAAGAGCTGAAATCAAAATAAACCACTATAGCCTTCTATAAACAACCATGGGTATTAAAGACTATAATATGATATTTGATGAGTTGGACAGATCTTGTCATGGATTTCTTACAGCTGATCAACTTCAAGAGTTTCATAAATCAGTATATTTAACCACTATTCCTCTAGCTCAAATTAACACTGTTATAAAACAGATCTGTGGTGCTTCAAGTGTTGGAAAGGTGACCAGAGACTTATTTCTTGTTGTTTTAAGTGAAATTGAACGGAGGAGATTGATTCAAGAAGAAGCTTATTGGGATTTCAGAGCTTTAGATCTTGATGGAAATAACAAAATTAGTTTGAAAGATGCATTAATATTATTTCGTGAATTCCATGGAGAGAATTTCTCCTTAGATACATGGAACAAATTCATATCATCACGTGAATATCCATATTGTGATATATATTATGATGAAATCAGAGCCTGGTTGTGTGAAATCCCTGAGGGTACTGCATGTACTGATCAACAACTGATAGAAGAAGAGAGAAGACTGGATGAAATGATTATGGAATGGAAATGGAATGAATATGAGACAATGAAAACATTTGAGGTAAATCTCCAAATAGTAAGATTATATTATATTTTATTTTCTACATTTAGTTTGTTTGAATTTCTTCACTCTTAATACTGATTATTGTTTAAAATATTTTAAATGCTGTATAAAAAGGTGTGATGTGTGAGTTTATGTTTAACTTGTAGACTTGATGTATTATGTTACAGGATAATGTTGATAAAGATGATTATAGAGAAAGTGTTAGTCGTGAAGCCAATAGAAAATTAAACAAGTAGGTATTGATAACAGAAGAGAGGTTATATTTCTATGTGGATGGATTTTGTGGCACACATGTATGTCTGACAATCTTTTTGGCTGTCTGGATGTATGTGATAGAAATAAAGTTATTGCTCTTTTTAATAATTATAAAAACTGTTATTATCTCCTTTAAATTTTCTTGTGGTGCAGAAAAGTAGGACGTAAAACTCCATTCATTTCATTTCAATTTTCTTGAATTGAATTTCTTGAAACTGGAAAATAATTGATACAATCAAACTGAAGGTCATGTTCACATGTTTGCAGCATGCATCGGTGTGAAAGATTTGTTTGAAATCTGTTGTTATACTGCAATTAGATACAGAGCCATCTGATATTACCTAATATTGACAATGCTGCAAGTGCTTTTGATATCTTTCAGGTGGAATCGTCAAGGAGTAGAAGCTTTATTATATGATGATGGGTTAGCTGTAGGTGAAGATGATAGTAATCTACCTTTAAAACCTAGAAACAGTGTCAATATCAATGATTTGTTAGATTCTGTAGATCAGAAATATAATATATTACAAGACAGATTACTGTTAAATATGGCTGAATTTGCTGCAAGTAAGTAGATGCTTATCTTAGCTTTTTTGTACACCTATCTTAACATTAATGAACACTGCTTTAACCCTGTGTTATTGCCTTCTGATATATTTAATAGGTTTTCATCAAATTTGTTCTGAAAAATTTTATGTCTCTGCTGAAAAAGAAATGATATTACACAATGAGATCAGTATCTACTCGGTTAGAAGATATTTATTCTTCTTTTGTCACAATATCACATTCCAATGTTGATTTTTAACCTTATTTAACAGATATGGAAAATGAAGTCTCTGATATATTTCAAGATTTAAGACGTAGAACTAAACAAATGATAAAAGATAAGAGTTTAACTGGTAATGGTCGAGATCTACTTGGTGGAATGGCTTCATTACCTTATTCATTATTAGCCTTATTAGGTCATCATAAATCACAGAATGAATTTGAAGAAATCAAACAAGAAATATTGAATTTAAAAGAAGAAGGAAAGTCAGAGGAGGAGATCAGAAAATTTTGTGAGGGGAAGTTTGAAAATTTGAATGGAGGTAACCCTAAAACTTATTGATGTTTTTATGTGTAGAGTTTATTTCATTAAGATAAAACTTCCTGTTTTTATTTAATATGTTGATGCAAAATATAAGTCAATCTATCTACTGTCATGCATAACGATAGTATTATAAACATATAGACTATTGGTGTATTTACCATTTCTGACATCTGTATGGTAAAATTTATTTGACCGTATAGAATGTTAAATTATTAATTTGAATTGCAGGTTCTAAAACAGCTGGTGATATTTTAGAATATTTAGAAGATCGTAGACTACAGGAAAAGCAGTATTGTTTAGGTTTATTACATAAAGGAGGAGATGGAAAATCAGCAGCTATGTCTATTAATTCAGAATTAGCCTCCCTGCATCACCAGCATGACTTATTGGGATATGAATCTGATATTAGTTCTTCTATTTTAACTACTGGTTTAGGTGAAAGGTCAATCTGTGATAAATTGTAAGTTTTGTTGCAGTCAAAGATATATCTTACTAACCCAATTTGGATATTTCAAGAATCTAAATCTAAACAATTTAAAATCCTAGAAATTAAGATATTTATTATTGTTTAAATTTAAACAAAATGTGTTTGTAATGATTCGATCATAGAACTATCTGTAATATGCACAATCTTAGAATGTTTTTCATTCATTGTTGATCCTTGCAAGTGAGCCAGTAAAGGAAGGAATCGCAAAAAATGAAGTCTGTACCCCTACATTCATTCATGAGACTTAATGACAGTATTTTCATTTTAGGAATAATCTAGATGAATTGAGATCTAAGAAATTAGTGTTGTCACAATTAGAAGAAAAGAAAGGAAGAAAACAGATCCAAGTCTCCGAGGGAAAGATAACTCTAGATAAACTTGATAACCTTGGTATAGTTGATCTCAGACTTAAGGTCATCTCAGAAATAGACAGGAAACATTTCTTCGAACGAGAGGTAGACTAAATATTTTGGTTTTTCTTTTTTCAGTCATAAATGGATTAATTGGTGTTATTAATGCTTTGAGACTACTTGACCATAACCTTTCCAGATTTTGAAGATCAGGATTTTCATTTTATGTATTCAAATTACTAATTCCACAAACAATACACTCTTACTTACAGGTTATGTTGACATTATGTGCCTGTTCTTTCGTAGCATTAATTAACTGCAATTTTACAGCCTAATTTTGAATTCAAGATATAGATTCAGATCAACTCAAAATATGTTATTATTTATTATTTCACTATTTTCTCTATTTAATAGGCTATGATCTCCATGTTACAAGGACCTGATAGTAAACCAGTGATAGAAGTATTAAGGAAATTATCAGAGATAGAGAAAAAGAAAGAGATTAACCATTTACGAAATCAACATCAGAATTGGTTAAATAATTTATCATCATTCCTTCCAGATTCTTCTACTTTATCTGTGCATTACAAAATATTACATAAAGGTGAGCAGGAATGTCCTCTCAGTTTTAAATTAGAAATAAATCGAAATGTCTAAGGTCTATACCATAGAAAAATACCACAACAGATTTTTGTGTTTGACAAACTGACTGTTAACCACATTTAAAATTCTATTCTATATGTTGTAACTCTGAGAGAGAATTTTTGTGTTTATTATAGCTGTCGGTCTGTATTGGTTAAAACAGCAAGCTAAAGAGGAAGAAAGATATCCAAATATATCTAATGTTGAAATATCATCCATTATTCTCTCCAAATTAAATCTTTATCAAGAAGCAGAAGTGAAACAGAAGATAGAAGAAATACAATCTATGGTGAGAATATGAGAATAATTTATGATAAAGAACAAATAACTAGTCTTTGCCAATGGTATGTGGTAGAAGAGTAGCTTCATGTGTTTTGATGTCTAGATAAAATTATATGTAATTAGATATACCTATTGATAGACAAAGACAAAAATAAAATTGCAGCTTCAACATTAAGTTTTCTGTGATGCTATTTGCTTTAAGATGTATTGACCTTTTTTTTTTCGAAGTCATCAGAAGTATTGAGGAAACTGATACGTAAACAACACAAATATTGTATCAACGAATGTTTTGATGGTATAGCTAATGTTACCATGGGAACACTAGTATTGTCTGATGATGATAAGGAGTTTATAGAGGTCCTAGATGAGAAATATTCAACTTTACGTGAAAAACTATTTATTTGTATGTTACAACATAAACATGGCCTTGACTGGATAAAGTAAGGGCAATTTTTTTATTTTGACACCTACCTTCTTGTTAGGACAAGTTAATGTCCACTTCCAGCAGACTTTAGCAGATTTAAGGTTCTGATAAATCATTAACTTGAAAAGTTTTTTTTTTTTAATAGTCTAGATGATAAAATTAAAGAGAAAGAACTTCATAAACTAAGAAAGGAAGAGAAGAAGTTAAGAGCAACTCAAAACACTGAAGAATTAGCTGAATTTTTAGGTCCTAAGATAATGGTGAGTCTTTTAGAATTCTGTTGTAACTTTTCTTACAATCCTTTTGGATGTTTTTCCAGCTTTATTCAAAGTATTTTTTAAATGATTTAACATAATGACTTTTCCATTTCAGGAGATTTCATCTAAGTTATGTTACTCATTAGGATCACCAAAATGGATCACATTAAACAGTAAGCAGTTGTAGATTTATGTTGTCCACATAAAACAAATATCTCCAATTTTGATTTTTGAACAAATTTCATTTGATTTGCTTGAAACCAATGATTACTATGTTGTTGAATAATTTTCAGGTTCTGATACTAAATCAGAAAATATTTTAAGTTACTTGATTGAAAGATATGATGAAGAACAACAAGCATTGATAACATGGTTACAAACAGATGCTGTTAAAAAACTATCAGGACGTAAGAAAAGAAAAGAAGTTGTTCATACAAAATTACAAATCATGTGTTTAAAGTTAGAATTAGATCTTCAGACATCCTACTTAATGAATGGTAAGCTTATTTTTGTATATCAACAATTCACAAAGACATGAACACAAATCCAATTTGCTATTTCAAATTCTAATTTTATGAATTGCTGATGTAAATATTTTCTCATTGAGCAATTCTTAGTTTTCAATATAAATTTGCTTTTATCTTTTTCTGAAGTTTGTTGGTTGTCATTCTAATCTAATGTGTAGGTATGATAGAAAGACTGGAAGATGGAGAAGATACAACTAGATTAACCAGTCTGTCTGAAGTCAGTGTTAAGTCCTGGAGAGATAGACTATCCCATGGTATTCATTATAAACCACTCTTCCAAGATCTACAAAATATGAAGAGAGGTAAAAATTTACTTTTGAAATTCATTTCAATTTTATCAATTTTCTGGTGCTAAGATAAAATAAAAATTTAACTGATTGAAAGCATGAGCCTGGTGTTAAGGTTTATTGAGACAAGTCCTGGTGTGATTTAATAAGAACTATAAACAACTTTACTTCAGTGATCATTTTTTAACAATTGATTTTCGAACATTTTTCTTCTTTTATTATTCCCCCATCTTGACCGAAAAATGATATGTCCTAATTTTCTGAAAATTTCCAAAAGCATGGGTTGTTTCTCAATAATATATGGTAATATTATTCTGAATCTATCTATACATCTTATAAAATCATTGATCAAAATCGTTTGAAAAATTCAAATTTTTTGTAGATGACATCACAAGTTGGCAGTTTGTCTACTTGACAGAAGTCAAATATCGTCATAGCGATGAAAGAGAAGTTTTATTAGAAATAGTTAAAGAGATGTCATCAGATTTCCTTCAAGAAGCTGCTGCCATGATGGGTGAAGGAGACAGACAAAAGAGATTGTCAGAATTACAAACCAAATATTTGAAATTAGATTTATCATCTAAAGGTATGGATATGAAAAGAAATTGATTTTTTTTATCCATTAATCGCTTTTTATATGCCCACACGTATATGATGAATTGGAAATCAAAAAAATCTAAAAATCTATTTGATATCAGTTATTGCCCTTTTAGCTCTCAAATACTCCAGAAGGCAAAATTCTTGACATATTTACACTAAATTTGGTGAAATTGTTTTTTTTATCACCTAAAGATGAACCTTATCAAAAATCAAAAAAACAAAGAAAAAGGCCTCCCATACAACTTGGCTTCCATTATAGTTGTGGGCATATAACAATGGCCATGGCTATTTTTCGATGTTTGTGCCTTATTTTGTTGGTCTCACTTATTTCTTACATAGGGTTCCTCAGTGATATTTTTATCATATTTCTGTAACATGGTAATTCACAATACTGTTTAAAAGAGAAGTAGCCATACTTTTACATCAATATAAAAAATAATTCTCAATAGAACTTCTATCCACCCTGTTTCTAAATGGATTTATTTTTTAACTGTAGATGATTATGAAGATTATAGAGTTATTTTAGAAGAAGCTGGAGCTATACAAGTTATATGTCGTAAAGCATTATTACAGAAAGAAAGACGACGTGGTATAACAGCTGAAATGACAGCTGTATCTTTACTCTATGATTTATATCATCAACAATTTAAAGAACTACGTTCTATTTATACTCATCTTGATAAAATAGTAAGTAGGAAATCATATTTTAACAAGACTTGGGGCAGTCGCAATAGCTCAGTGAGTTGGATGCTTGCTCACTGGCCCAAATGCCAACTTTGTGTCATATGATTCGAAAGGGACAATGAATCGAGTCATTGTGTACATTAAAGATTCTGCAACTGTTGCATTTGTTGTGCATTACAGTTGTATAGCTTAGCTATGACATGTTTTAAAGAATCAATGTTCTGTTTTTGTAGGAGGAAGCTGATCTTATAGATCGTCAATCTAAAGAACGTGTGATGAGAAAAAATAATATCTCACCTAATGTTATTAAAGTATTGACAGTTGTTAAAGGTGCAGCTCATGATCATGACCTTCTACAGGTAAGTCAAGAGGTTGCTGGCCTTGATTTTTTAGAAGTTAGAAATATATTCAGAGATGAAATGGAGATTTGGAATCATATTCAAAGAGTAGATTTGCTCCCCTTTGACAAATTTAAGATAGCAACACTGTCATATTGGTAAATTTGCTCAGCTATGTTGTTTTACCATATCGATATAGGTAGTTGATAGAAAGTATGATGTATTGAAAGACAGATTATTATCAGAAAGTATAAAACAGTCCATGGAACCATCAGCTTGGTCTAAACTCTCTAAAAAAGATAAACTTAATAAAGTTAATAAGCTTAAAGAGTCAACAGAAATACACTGGAGACAAGGTAAATTTAATATTTGAGTGATTTAGATACTTATTTTGTTTCTGGATTCATTAATATGGTCATTCTTTTGCATTTTAAGCCTAGTTGATGCCAAGTCAAACAACATTTTTAAGAGATAAAAGAAAATAAGGATCCATTATAATGCCTGAGTATTTCTTAATTGTAGCTAACATTGCTGAGTTTGCGTTAGTTCTTGGAAATGATTTCAATTTAACCTTTGATACTAAGAATATTCTGGGATGTGATAGAGAAAATTTCCGACAATCCGGACTAATAGGTAGGGCAGGTTTTGTACTCTTGTTGATAAAAATTACTTAAGAAGGGCATGTTCAACATATGTGTGATCAATTGTATCTTTGTATCTGAAACAAGACAATGTTCACAGCTTACCATCTAAATTAGAGCCTTCTTAACCATAAGTAACCGTTATTATGTTTGAAAGTTCCATTCACAACTCATCTTTTCTTTAGACTCAGATTTTCTCTACCGACTTCATTAGCCCACAAGGTGCAGAAGAGTAGGACGTAAAACTCCATTCATTTCATTTCATTTCATTTCAGATTTTCTCTAGAGCATGTGCACACCGTGTTTCTTATCATAGACCCCAATGTACAGTGTTCAGGCTCGGGAGAAAACAGTAAAGATGGAAAGAGAAAGTGACATTAATCTTGTTTTAGATATTTTTGAAGGAATTATGTGATTTTTGTACAAAAAAAGTCACGTCTTAGATTTTTTGAATTACCTGTTTTTCAGAGGAACTGAAATCTGAAACATGTTCTGTACCAGCATCTGAAGTTGTCCAGTTTTTATATGACAGACTAGAAGAAGAAAAAGAATCAGTTCTTAATATGAGTCAAGGTGGGCATGTAATTTATGGTTTTATTTCAAATTGTCAGGTATTACAGTCAACCTGTCAAGATTTTTGATTATTCTAAGAGCAGAAAACAAGTCTAAACAAATGCTTCTGATTCTGATATGAGCAATGATTTTGTGTCAGTCACAGATATATAATGTATGTATGGTTCAGCTGTAATTTTTCAGGATCATCGACTGGAGTGTTTCTTTCTGATGGGAATAAATTTGCTCTAGTAGCTCGTTTGAAGAGGGAGGTTACTGTCTGTGATGATCAAGATAGTCTCTATTTATCAAGCCTTTCAGCGGGTTTATTGGAAAGACAATCTTTTGATGTTAAGAATATGTAAGATAAATTTTCTTTTTACAAAAGCAACATATTGAGCGCTAAGAGCAAACTTTCTTTTTCTTATCATGCTTTTTCAAATTTGGAATATATTCCAGGGGGTACATAATGACCTTTTCTAACTTCATATTCTTCAAGTTGAAGAACGCCTTTTAATATTTTTACTGTACATAGCAATGGAGAACCACAAGTTCAGGGTTCAGACTACTATTGATTTGAGATCTTTTGAATTTACAATATAGTTATATTAGACTTCAGTTTATTATATTACATTTCTGAAGCCAAACAATCCCAAGCTACAAGGTTGTTCATAAAAACTTGGAAAATTCCTTTAAAAAACATTTTATTAATTCTAGCCCAGTAAATGACCAAAAGAGATATAAGATTTTAGCAGAAGACAGTATTAAATGGTGTGAAGGAGAGAAAAATGATATTAAGATTGAAAGTCCTATTTTTTCAACAGATATTATGGAATTAGAGGTAATAATTACTAGTACTGTTTGTCAGATTGTGTTAAATTATGTGTCCTATTCATTTCTATGATATTTGTGGCCCATAAATATATAAAATTTTAAGTAGGTATTCTGTGTCATCATTAATGATGACTGATGTTTTCTGACCATTATGAAGAATATGAAGTTATATTTGTAGAATTTTTGAAATCTACAAGTTATCAGTTGTAAATTATATACCTAATAAAGAACAAACATATCAATTATTTTTCTTATATTTAAATCTAGAATGATGTGTTAAAACTACTGTATATACAACATAAACAAGAACAGTTAGATTGGTATAGAATATTATCTTCTAATAAACAAATAGAACTAAGAAATACAGCTACTGTTCAATCTAAACAACAACGTAATGATCGGTTAATTACATTAACAAATAATCTGACTGCTCTACAAACAGGTATTTCTATTTGTTCTAACTGTTATTAACTATCAATGTTTTATTCCACTGTTCATATTAATAAATGAATATATTTTGAAATAAAACCAACAATGTAAAATTCAATGGTAACGGAAATGAAATGGAGTTTTACAGCCAAATTTATTACTAATTGAAACAGTCATGCTATCAACAGTGCATTGAGAGACTTACAAGCATTAACCTACTCTTTTTTATTTTCATTTGACAAGGAATCTTATTGTAATGACTTGACAATTTGCCAATATTCAACCAGGTGTTAGCTTGCAAACTTCTCTGAGTCATCCCTTCTCCCAATCCTGACATAGGATTTGTTGGTGATTCATGTTATGATTTCCCTATAGGAAAAAACCTGGGGCTGAAGTTGTTCCAGGTTTCTCAATTGATGGTTAATGAAAAGAGTTGCAACCATTCTAGTACACTAGTATGATAAGCTCAGTAGAATAAATATACAATAAGATAACCAAAGTTAAACGATGGGCAAAGTATCTGAAGATGTAATATGAAAATGATTTTAGTCTTGTGAATATATAGATATATTTATTTTATGTTTAGTTGATTGTAAAGAGTATAAAAGTATATTGTTAGAAGCTATGGTGTATAAAAAAGAAAACATCTTATCAAAAAGTGAACATCAGAATTCTACAATGGAGGATATTAACATTATAATGATGTCTCTCTTACTTCAATATCAAAATAGCCATGCTGAAAAAATAATTCAAAACTTCTCGAATCAGGTAATTAAATTCAAATTCAAGTTCCCGCAGGGAATGGTGTTGATCAAGAATTAACTGTATTTGATTGATTGTTTTCAGACAACAGAAGATTTTCAATAATTTGATTGATACTGATTTGATTGTTTTCAGACAACAGAAGATTTAACTTGGTTATCCAATCAAATAACTTCTGATCAACATAAAAAAAAATGTCAGAATATTGTTGAAGTTGTATTTTCTACTGAAACATCAACAGAGTCAACTAAAGAAGATCTACTGGCTGCTCTAGAAGGAAAATATGATGCTTTACGTGATAAGCTAATAATAGAAGCTTTGATAGCTCAGGTAATTGTTGTAATTCTGTAAATTCAGAGAAGATATTATCTGAAAAACTGTTAAAGTCCATTTAAAAGTTAAAATTGATGATTTATGTTAAAAAAAATTATTAAAGGATTTTTGTAGAAGGAAAAATTGATATTTATTGTAGTATGGGGAATTAGATTGGTCAAAAATAACAGATGCTGAAAGACAGAAGAAAGTATTTGAAATGAAATTAAAAGAAAGAAGATTAAGAAAAGAAGGAAAAATTGATGAAGTTAATAAGTTGATTGGTAGGTGTCCAATGTATTTATTTTTTTAGTTCACACGCAACACTTGTTCAACTTTTCTCATGTTATTCACCAAGGAACTTGTTTTTTCAGTACTTGATGTTAGATATTGCTTCACTTGCCACTGAATTATAATACTGATCAGTAATAGGCTATTTGTATTCTCTATTTGTTTTGTTGCATTTATTTGCCTAGTATGGTTTATTTTTTTGATAACTATGAACCATATATAATTATCGATACTTATTTGACTTTTAGGTGAATCATTAAAACATCAGGAAGCTCTGACTAAATTAATGGGAGATAATAAAGCTGATGCTGATAGAAAATTAAGAGAGAGACTTGAAAAACGCAAACAAAGAATACAAGAAGGTAAATATTAATAAAAATTTGAATTTGAATTGTGACTATTTTGATTACTGCTTGTAAAACTGAGAACTGGCTGTGGTTGAGCTTCAAAGAAATTGTAAGTGCAATGTTTGTTATATATTGATATATATAATTTGTAGGGTAAACATAAAAATAATTTAGGTTATTTAGTTTATGTAAATTGTACATAAAACAGAAGAATGTATCTTATATATTAATTTATATAGATTGAAGGTAAAACAGAAGAACAATTTTTATTTTATTATTTTATGTAAATTGTACATAAAATACAGGAAGAATTTATGTTATTTAGATTATATTAATTGTAAAGGTAAAACAGAAGAAGATTGCATGTTATTTATTATTTCATGTTATTTATTTTTATATGTTAATTATAGGTAAAACAGAAGAAGAATGTATGTTATTAGAGGAAGAAGACATAAAGAAAGAAGAAGAAAATACCAATATATTACAAGAATTAGAAAGTAGATTCTGTCAGGTAGTGAAGCTTTCACATTACTATGAATTAAAAACTAACCTAGTGGTTACCAGTAGAAAGAAAGATGTTGATTTGGTACTATTTGTTAGCATGTTCAGCAAGGTGTATGATTTGTCCTGAAATGACAAGTTTTAAATCAACACCAGGATATGAAACCTAATATTACGTAACAGTTGTAATTAAAACCTTCTATTCAAAATTTTTACAGCAAATTTACTGGCATTTACATTACTTAACCTAAGCTATATATTTTCAGGAAAAAGAAAAGCTGTTAAATCAGCTGTCAAATGATAGTAATAATACAGAAGATATTGAAAAATTAAAACATGAACTCATTAAACTCAGGCAAGATGAAAGAAAAGCTAGAAATGAAGATGGTTTTGAATCAGCAGCTCTAGTTATTGGTCTGGCTCAGAAGTATGTTGCATAAATAAGTTCATTTACTAGATATATTTTCAGCATGACCTAATGTCTTGCTTATCAATATTGAAACATGAAAAACAAAATATTAATTATCCAAATTCATTGAAATGTATTACATTTTAACCAATCCATTTACTGCAATTCATAATTATATAATTGTCAATTCAGAGCAGAAGAAGATGAATCTGAGAAGGAACGTCAATGGAGATTAGCCAAAGAAAGATTATTAGCATCTAGGCGAAAACGAGGGACAGAACAAAAGAAGAAAGAGGATATTATTGAAGAAGATATAGAGAATATAAATAGTAAAACAAGACTACGAGAAATACTATTGATGTTAAACGATAAAAACCATACTGAAAATAGAAACTATTTAATTCAGGTATAGAAATACTTTGAAAAAATCATACTGAAAATAGAATCTATTTAATTCAGGTATAGAAATACTTTGAAAAAATCGTAGTGAAAACAGAAACTATTTAATTCAGGTATAGAAATACTTTGAAAAAATCATAGTGAAAACAGAAACTATTTAATTCAGGTATAGAAATACTTTGAAAAAATCATAGTGAAAACAGAAACTATTTAATTCAGGTATAGAAATACTTTGAAAAAATCATACTGAAAATAGAAACAATTTAATTGAGGTATAGAAATACTTTGAAAAAACCATAGTAAAAACAGAAACTATTTAATTCAGGTATGGAAGTACTTAAAAAATTATAGTGAAAACAGAAACTATTTAATTCAGGTATAGAAATACTTAAAAAACCATAGTGAAAACAGAAACTATTTAATTCAGGTATGGAAGTACTTAAAAAATTATAGTGAAAACAGAAACTATTTAATTCAGGTATAGAAATACTTAAAAAACCATAGTGAAAACAGAAACTATTTAATTCAGGTATAGAAATACTTTAAAAATTATAGTGAAAACAGAAACTATTTAATTCAGGTATAGAAATACTTAAAAAACCATAGTGAAAACAGAAACTATTTAATTCAGGTATAGAAATACTTTGAAAAAACCATAGTGAAAATAGAATCTATTTAATTCAGGTATAGAAAGACTTTTAAAAAATCATAGTGAAAACAGAAACTATTTAATTCAGGTATAGAAATACTTTAAAAATTATAGTGAAAACAGAAACTATTTAATTCAGGTATAGAAATACTTTAAAAATCATAGTGAAAACAGAAACTATTTAATTCAGGTATAGAAATACTTTGAAAAAATCATACTGAAAATAGAAACAATTTAATTCAGGTAAAGATATACCTTGAAAAACCATAGTGAAAACAGAAACTATTTAATTCAGGTATAGAAATACTTAAAAAACCATAGTGAAAACAGAAACTATTTAATTCAGGTATAGAAGTACTTAAAAAATTATAGTGAAAATAGAAACTATTTAATTCAAGTATAGAAATACTTTGAAAAAATCATAGTGAAAACAGAAACTATTTAATTCAGGTATAGAAATACTTAAAAAATTATAGTGAAAACAGAAACTATTTAATTCAGGTATAGAAATACTTAAAAAACCATAGTGAAAACAGAAACTATTTAATTCAGGTATAGAAATACTTTGAAAAAACCGTAGTGAAAATAGAATCTATTTAATTCAGGTATAGAAAGACTTTTAAAAAATCATAGTGAAAACAGAAACTATTTAATTCAGGTATAGAAATACTTTAAAAATTATAGTAAAAACAGAAACTATTTAATTCAGGTATAGAAATACTTAAAAAATTATAGTGAAAACAGAAACTATTTAATTCAGGTATAGAAATACTTTTAAAAAATCATAGTGAAAACAGAAACTATTTAATTCAGGTATAGAAATACTTAAAAAATCATAGTGAAAACAGAAACTATTTAATTTAGGTATAGAAGTACTTAAAAAATCATAGTGAAAACAGAAACTATTTAATTCAGGTATAGAAATACTTTGAAAAAACCATAGTGAAAATAGAATCTATTTAATTCAGGTATAGAAATACTTAAAAAATTATAGTGAAAACAGAAACTATTTAATTCAGGTATAGAAATACTTAAAAAATCATAGTGAAAACAGAAACTATTTAATTCAGGTATAGAAATACTTAAAAAATCATAGTAAAAACAGAAACTATTTAATTCAGGTATAGAAATACTTAAAAAATCATAGTGAAAACAGAAACTATTTAATTCAGGTATAGAAATACTTAAAAAATCATAGTAAAAACAGAAACTATTTAATTCAGGTATAGAAATACTTTGAAAAAACCATAGTGAAAATAGAAACTATTTAATTCAGGTATAGAAATACTTTTAAAAAATCATAGTGAAAACAGAAACTATTTAATTCAGGTATAGAAATACTTAAAAAATCATAGTGAAAATAGAATCTATTTATATTGAGGTATAGAAATACTTAAAAAATTATAGTGAAAACAGAAACTATTTCATTCAGGTATAGAAGTACTTAAAAAATCATAGTGAAAACAGAAACTATTTAATTCAGGTATAGAAATACTTTAAAAATCATAGTGAAAATAGAAACTATTTAATTCAGGTAAAGAAATACTTAAAAAATCATAGTGAAAACAGAAACTATTTAATTCAGGTATAGAAATACTTTTAAAAAATTATAGTAAAAACAGAAACTATTTAATTCAGGTATAGAAGTATTCAAAAAATTATAGTGAAAACAGAAACTATTTAATTTAGGTATAGAACGACTTTTAAAAAATCATAGTGAAAACAGAAACTATGTAATTCAGGTATAGAAATACTTTTAAAAAATCATAGTAAAAACAGAAACTATTTCATTCAGGTATAGAAATACTTTTAAAAAACCATAGTGAAAACAGAAACTATTTAATTTAGGTATTGAAATACTTAAAAAATCATAGTGAAAACAGAAACTATTTAATTCAGGTATAGAAGTACCTAAAAAATCATAGTAAAAACAGAAACTATTTAATTCAGGTATAGAAGTACCTAAAAAATCATAGTAAAAACAGAAACTATTTAATTCAGGTATAGAAGTACCTAAAAAATCATAGTGAAAACAGAAACTATTTAATTCAGGTATAGAAGTACCTAAAAAATCATAGTATAAACAGAAACTATTTAATTCAGGTATAGAAGTACCTAAAAAATCATAGTAAAAACAGAAACTATTTAATTCAGGTATAGAAATACTTAAAAAATCATAGTAAAAACAGAAACTATTTAATTCAGGTATAGAAGTACCTAAAAAATCATGGTACAAACAGAAACTATTTAATTCAGGTATAGAAGTACTTAAAAAATCATAGTGAAAACAGAAACTATTTAATTCAGGTATAGAAATACTTAAAAAATCATAGTAAAAACAGAAACTATTTAATTTAGGTATAGAAATACTTAAAATAACCATAGTGAAAACAGAAACTATTTAATTCAGGTATGGAAATACTTTGAAAAAACCATAGTGAAAACAGAAACTATTTAATTCAGGTATAGAAGTACTTAAAAAATCATAGTATAAACAGAAACTATTTAATTCAGGTATAGAAGTACTTAAAAAATCATAGTGAAAACAGAAACTATTTAATTCAGGTATAGAAATACTTAAAAAATCATAGTGAAAACAGAAACTATTTAATTCAGGTATAGAAATACTTAAAAAATTATAGTGAAAATAGAAACTATTTAATTCAAGTATAGAAATACTTAAAAAATCATAGTAAAAACAGAAACTATTTAATTTAGGTATAGAAATACTTAAAAAATCATAGTAAAAACAGAAACTATTTAATTCAGGTATAGAAATACTTAAAAAATCATAGTAAAAACAGAAACTATTTAATTTAGGTATAGAAATACTTAAAAAACCATAGTGAAAATAGAAACTATTTAATTCAGGTATAGAAATACTTAAAAAATCATAGTAAAAAACAGAAACTATTTAATTTATAATTTAAAACATAATTCCACAGACGACGAACATTTAGCTCGAACAATACGCCAGTGCCACGGAAAATCACATGACCTCAAAATGGCGACGTCCAGAAGAAAATGTAAAATTGCGTTTGCTATATTATTAATTTTAAAAAAGACGCCAACGTAGACGGCGAAATAGGAGCATTTGGGTCTGCACCCGGATTACCGGTTGTTTCCAGGGCTTGTGTTATTTCTTGCATAGCAGTGTACTTCTTGTTTCTATCTGAATAGTCAGGCGAAGAAATCATAAACAAACAGGCAGATTGCGACCACATATCTACTAAAATCTGCTCCTTCTCCACAGTCCAAAATTTTGTGTTGGTGGATTCACTGGACGTCGCGATTTTGAGTGTCATGTGGTCTGGCTTCGATCGCTGATTGGTCTTTCGTCGATAAATGTTCAGCGCTAATGTTTGTGGTTAACGCAGACGGCGAACAATTTTTAAAAAGTCAAACATGTTTGATTTCACGAACAATTCTCACGAACATTTTTGTTCGGTTCCTGTAATCCGCAGACGGTGAAAAAAATGATTGAAACAAAATTTTTACGATTGTTCGCTTAAAATGTTCCTCGTCTGCGTTGGGCTTTAGTGAGTAAGTATTTCATAATGAAATGATGATAGTGATATCAGGTATCTAGAAGAGTAAAGCAGTGAGTTGGTGCCTTTTTTATGTGAAATGTGACCTCATAATTGTGACCTAATTTATCAAGTTTATTTTTCCAGTTATTAGAAGACGTAGATGAAGATAAAATAGCTATATTATCACAATTATTGAATGAGAATCTGGAGACCAAAATCAGTGAATCTTGTGAACTTCGTAAAAAATGGAAAGAATCAACAGATCCTAATGAGGATGACGAACTTACGATATTCAAGGTATTGCTTTAAAGGTTTAGTTGTAATAAAGTAATATCTGTATTTATTAAACATTTTGCTTCACAGGAATGAATTCTAGTATTCTAACTTTCTGGCACAGATATAAAAGTAAAAGAAACAGTCTCGTTGACTTTTACTTTATTTTTCTGAGAAGGAAAACTTGGGCTCTGAATATTAAAAATTTTTTACATTGCATACTTATGGTTTAAGTTGAAGAGTGAAACCATTCCTCCTGTCGGAAGCATTGGTCTAGCATCTAATCGTCAAGCCTACTACAATCACACACACCGCTTTGCTACTGCCACAAAAGGAAATGTTCCATCCCAGTCTTTTTCCTTTTGTGTTTTTCTTCTTATGTCCTGTTTAAATAAGAATAGAATCATACCAGAGAATTTTCATTCACAGGAAATTTGTGGATGTACTGTAGAGATCAAAAGGCGTGAAAAAGAGGAAGGTTATGATCTTGATGAGGTCAAAGTTGAATTATTGGCAGACCTTCAACATCTTCAAGATATAGGTACTAGGAAATTAAGATTACAGATCCCACAGAAGGTACTATATTCAGATTTGGATTTTTTTTTTTATTTGAATATGTGATCAGTTGTTTTATTTTACTAGTCAATGGTTCACGCTGACCACTTTGTACCAATCACAGTTCTCTCTGAGCATCCACATTTAAGTTCTGAGAAAACCATTTTCCATATCTAAGCTGTATTAACTCTTAGACTGCTGAAAATGATTTGAAAAAAATTACATTTTGTAGTAACTTTTTAATAGCATGTGGCTCGCATCAGTATGATGAATAAATAAATGGCTGACTGATTTTATTTCACATTGAGCTTTCAAGTTACTCACATGGTTTTGTTAATCAAAGGCCATGCACAAATTTAAGTACCAAGTAAATTTTATTTGAGAAATAATTCTGAAAATTACATTCACTTTTGACCTGAATGAAAATTGTCAAAACTATATTATTACTATGTACTGGTTTAATTTTTGTCTTCAGGAAATAACATGGTTAAAAGAAAAAATAACAGAAGCGAAACAAGGTGGTAACCATGACAATGTGGGAATCATATTATTTTTAGGTCAAGGTCAACCTGTTGAAGAAACTAATAAAGATGAACATTTAGTCATTGCCGCTTTAGAGAAGAAGTATGATGTCATGAGAGACAAACTCATTGTAGAGGTTAGATTGGTGATTTTTTTAAAATTCATGACCAGTTGCTCCATGATGGAATAAAAACAGAACTTGTTTGATGAAAAATAATTGCATGGAATTGGCAAAAAATGTATATTGATATACATCAAAATTTGTCAAAATAAAAAAAAAACGAATTAGTCATACTTAGTGTTTTGGATCGTTTTAGTAAACAAGTTCCTATAGAATACAAGAATACTTAAGAATCTGATATTTTGTTTTTATTGTGTCAAATGGAATAGAGGTTAAGGTGGTTGACTGATCAAATGCCCTTGACATTTTATTTTTTAGGCTTTGATGAGAGAAATAGGTCAGGCCGAATGGAGCAGACTATCACAGCTCCAGAAACAAAAACAAGTTATTCAGATTAAATTAGAGAATAGAAGATTGAGACGTGAGGGTAAAATGGTGGAAGAAATCTCTGATTTGATTAAAGAACATCTGAAAAACACCCAAGGTTATTCTTAAATATTTATTATTTCAATTTGAATAAACTAACTCAGTGTTTGGTTTTTAAAAGATCTATTAATTGAAGGTGGTTGACAATTATTGGGTCAGTGCTATTATGTTCCATCCTGGAATTTGATGTAAATTTAATTAATTTGAATGCTCTACTGAATTGTGATATTGCTGAATTTTTTTATATTTCTGTATAGCCATGGACACACTATTATCCCAGTCTAAAAGAGATCAACATCGTAGATTTGAAGAGAAATTGGCTGCAAGGCGCAGAAGTAAAATGGAAAGGGAGGCAACTATGGGTGTAACAAGAGAAAATAGTTCTGCAGAACAGTTTCAGAAGTATGAAGAGAAAAAGGCTATGAAGAAAGTAAGATTTCTATTAGAATTTTCAAACATGGAAAAATGGTGTCTAGATTAAAAGACTAATGAAAATAAAAGTGGAACACTGTGCTCAAATTATTTCAACAACCCAAACATACTATGATGGGTCTAAGTTTAAACCTTTCCAAATAATTTCAAAGCTCATACCAACCTATCTTGACTTAATTCAATTTTGTAGAACATATTAGAAAACCTAGAGAAACAGTTAGAAGCAGATAAAGAAAGATTGTTGTCATCTTTAAGAAATAAAACAAATAAAATGGAAAGAGTTAAGGCACGATGGAAAATGTTGGCCAAATTAAACCAGGAACAGAAACTCCTGTTAGCAGAAGAAAACTTTGAGTCTGCTAGAATTGTATTTGATATGTCAGAAAGTGCACTGAGAAAAGAAAAGAGTTTTATTCAAGAACGAGATAGACATAGAGAGTTAGCTAAAGGTCGACTAACGTCAAGAGGATCACCAAGGAAATCTGTAGAAGAAAATCAACAAGATATTCTTAAATTCCTTGAACAGAAGCCAGAAACTCCCAAAAAACAGAAAAGTAAGTGATTATAATTCTTCATTTTTTTTTTATTATGATAGCCATTGAAGTAAGAACTGCTCTTTTTTTACTTAGTATCTTTCTATAGATTCTTCTTTTGAACAAATAACTTAAAATCACTCTTGGCTAAAAACAGATATTTTAATATAACATGATATATTATCAAAGTACAAAGTAATGATATTGTAATTATATTATTTGTAGAGATAAAAGAAAGAGTAATGGAAAATCTATATGAACATCATCAATATGAACGTGAAATATTTGTTAAGCTACTACAATTAGCTCAACAACAAACAGAGCTACAGGAAAAAGCTAAAAACATGTCTGAAAAGGTAGAAACTTATTTATAACATTAAGAAACAAACACAGTTTGATGAGACTATTAGATATTATCTTGAAATTTGTATAGTTGGTAAAAATAAACATGTTTTTGAAGATTAGCAAGTGGTATGGATCATCATTTGTTTTTTTAGTTTTTGTTTTTAACCCCTTTATTTCACTTTTTTAATGTATTTTATTACAGGAATTAAAAGATATTCTAACCAAACTTCAAAATGATCAAATCAAAATACAAAGTGACGCCCAACAAACAGCATTAACTGTTAATTTAAATGCACTAACTGAATCTGAACAACAGACCTATTATGTTGGTGTATCAAAACGTAGATCATTACAGTTCCAGCTTTATATGGATGCTATTGTTTACAGAATTGAAGGTACTGGTACTATATTATTTCAATTTAGAAAAATGTGTTCTGTATTTTGTAAATGCCATTTAACCACCTCCAGACAACTACTTATTTTTTTTCTATAGAATGGCATGATGAAATGAAATATTCTTAAAGGCTTAGAATTCAATCTTTCATCAACAGAACCAAGCCAAATGATGATGATAATTGATTGACAAATTTGTATCTAATTTTTCTAGTGGAATTAAGAATGTTGAAAGAAAATGGCATAGAAATAAATGAAGAGGTAATACATAAAGAGCTGTCTGTTTCATTATTAGCTGATTTACAAGAAAGACAAGATAATGAATCAAGTGTTCTTAGGAATATTATTGTTGAAAAGGTAGGAAAATTTAACTTGTTGATTTAAAAGTATATATCAATGGTATTTTATTACATGTATTGGGTGTCGCAGAAAACACATGTGGTACTTTTCATTTCAGAATCACTCATAAAATATCAACTTTAAGATCATAATAGTTTGACCTCATAATTAAAGAGAACATTGAACAAATGGTCAATGTGGACACCATTTTTGGCACAAACAAACTGCCGACACACTCTTTTCAAATACAAAGTCGTTTTCTAAGTTGTTTTCTAGATTCCGTTGAGGTATTTCATTCCACTTCTCCCTATTTCTGTCCTTCAGTTCGTGTTATTTTTTTTTCTGGGCCATCTGATATATTCAAAATACAGAATGATCTCCATGTTATCACAGATCAAGAATTATGTTCAATATTTATGATGTGACGTCTGTTACTTCAGGATGATGAAATGTTAGAGAATATTTGTGGTGTTCAGAAAGTAGGGCAACGTGAGGGTTGGTACAAAAATCTTTCAGTTGTCATATTTACCTTGACCTTATCATCAGATGACCTTGAACTTTTACCTGACATCACTAATGAAACTAAGAAATTAGAAGAAGAATTTGAAAAACAAAAACAAGAAATTACAGAAAAAGGTATGAATCGGTTCCTGTTATTTAATTAATTTCTGTAGTTACCTGGCTAAACTCCATGAACAAATTTTTGTCTTTACCTAAGTAAATCTAGATTTTAACAGTAGAAAAATGCTTTAAATGTGATTAAATATCTTAAGATTTCTTTCAATTTCATCTGCTTAACCCATATCTCCTATACTACATACGATAATCCTCTCTGTTTAAAGCCATTATGTTCCTCTCTGCTCTTGAAAAACTTCTGCATTGCATCTTATTTGAAATTTATCTACACTGTTTGACTGAAAACCTTTTTTCATAGTTTTCATGTAAGGACTCAAATCATGTCCTTTTAGAATTTAAAAAAAAAATGCAAATTTTAAGTGATATTATTTAGTCCATGATATGGACCTATATTTATATAAACATTTCAATTTATTTCTGTAGATATAGAGCCTGCTTCTCCATTATTACATTCAACCTGTAGGTTTCTTGCTAGATATGACTATATTTTAGATGTTGTAATAAATTAAGTTGCTTTGATGCTGCACCGCTGAATGTATTTTTATGCACTGCCAATTGATCTATTTACATATATTTAATGTATAATATTACACATATTGTTGCAATTTAATGACAACTGCCTTTTCCCACCCCACATCTCTCTATATAACAATAGTTTATGATGTATATATATATGTTATTGGAACCAATGTCTTTCCATCTTTTCACATTTCACCCACAAAAAAACTACCGCTTTTTTACGCATCTTTCGTTAGATATAGGTCAGATTTTAATTTGAGCATATTCTGATTAGTAAAGACAGAGATTTTGCACTTGTCCCAACTTGATTAAACTGCCATAACTATCTTAATTTCAACTAGTTTCTTGGATATAAACAAAAATATACCTTGCGACAAATACGTGTTTTTCTAAATTGACGATTATTACTCTTGTCCCAAAATATAAAAAAAACCGCTTATTTGTCAACCAATTGTCACAAAACTAGCTTTGTAGTTATATTATCAAAATATAGCTTTTAGGAATTATTTCTAAAATTTTCGAATATTGATAAAGCTGCTGTTCTGTAGTTTTCAATTTACAAGGTAAATTATGTCAGATGATTAGGAGTAATATTTAGCTACGGCTTAGAAAATTGTTCTTTTCTGATCAGCTTTTGGGATGGATACTTGCACCATTTGTTTGACCAATAATACCTTAATCTAAGAAACAGGATTTTTTTTAGTTAAGCCAATCAGTAATAGTGTTCACAGCTCACCATTGAAATTTGAGTCTTCAATTCCATGTGTGTCCAGAATTATCAGCGTTTTAACATTAAAAGATGAGTTGTTTTTTCTTGAGACACTGCCATATATAGAAAATACATCTATAGAAATAGGAAAAGAAATTCTTAGTTTTGAGATATTTTTTGAAGGAATTATATTTAAGACTCAAGTCAACACTTTGTTTCAATAATGAATGATTATTTATTTAAGCTGTAGAAGGTAAACGAAAGTATATATTTGATTGATATGCATGGTATTATTATTTTGGTTGTGGGTTTTATGAATGATATTTTTGCACAAGTGATTTCTGACTAACCACTCAAAATGGAATAAATGAACTTTGTTATTTTTATCATCTAGACAGTGTTTTTTAAATACCAACTTAATATCTAATAGATGCTTATTTGTATTATTGGTATATCTCAGGATTGTGACATCTAATATCATTTGCACTTTGAAATGTTACTCTGTATATTGATTGTTACTTTTTATATTAGATGAAGTCTGGTAATATAAGCATAATATTTTCTACTACAAAATGGCATGACTGGTGGTTGAGGTTTCTGTGTGTTTTGAAAAAATTAATGATATTAGGTCTTGTCTTTACAAAATATTAAGGCAATGATTTGCTCTATTTATAGATATTACAATGTTGTTTAATTAAAACAATATTTGCTGCAATTTTTAAATAAACATTTCTCAAAAGAGATCTCATAACACAATTTAACTTTTCAAAAGAGATTATGTCAGTTTTCATGTGAGAAAAATCTGATATCTATAAACATAGATCAATACTGTAATACATCATTTAATAGAATTTAGGCTAAAAAATAAAAGTTACATATTTTGTTTATTTTGTAGCTTTAAATTCTGGAGAAGATCCTGAGCCTAAGATTTCTGAGTTAAAAGAAAAATATGAGAGTAAAAAACAGGTATAATGTTACTAAACAATCTAAAGTCTCAATCTCTTAAAAGTAAATTTTGAATGAACTTCCAAAAGCAAGATCTACCTGCACTAATAAATTTTTCCAAGACTCTGTTCCCCAAGCAAACCTTGAATTTGTATAAGAAACAAATGTAGAAAAACAGTAATTTCTGTGTATATATAAATGTATATGTTAAAATCCAAGCCACTGCCTTGATGACCGATTTCCTTAATGAAACATATAGGCAGAAAAGGATACTTTGTTGTGAATTGTTTTCAAATATGTTTGTGCTTTTTGTAGGGTATAAAAGAGAAATATGAAAGGAAAATGTTAGAAATTCGTGAAAAGCAAGCTGCTAAGAAACATGCTAAAGAAAAGAAAGAGATGAAGGAAATGGAAGAAAAAGAGTTAGTTAACATGGCTGAAATGAGAGCTAAAGCTATGAAAACTGGTGGAGTTACCTTACGTAGAAAAACTAGTGTGGTAGGCATTGTAGATAAACACGATTTGACATACAATTCCTTTAGCACAAAAGTGTTTCAGTATCACAAAGCTGAACATAAAGCCAGTTACAAAATATTGTCTGATATATCATGTGACTATTTAATTTTCCAACAGAAATTTATATAAGTCTTCTATCTTTCTAAACTGATGCTTTCTTTATAATAGGAAAAGTATATTGAATTTCTTTGTTACCTTATTCCCCTACCAGAAATTCTCTAATGAAAATCGCAATTTAATCTCCAAATGACAAAAATTATTTAGGTATCAATCAGTTTTTTATGACATGAAGAATCATTCATTAGTCGATATTGGCATTTCCTACTTGACTACTAAAAATTTAGATCAACTGGATGTTTGTGTTCTAAGATCAGATCCCATATTTTGGTAGAAAGTAGGATAACAGCAAGCAACTGGGATTTTGTCAATGATCAGTTTATATTATCAGAATCTCTCCAGAAGTAGGTAATTTCCTATCAAATTGATGTATTCCAATGCTAAAATCGACAGTCCCTACTTGTGACCTAGGCCAGTGCTTCTATAAGAGAGTTTATACCAGAACTATTAATTGTGAAGGAGGTCCTTTTTTTTTTAGCTACAAGACAGATTATCTATTATACGAGAAGGTAAAAAAGATGCAGAAGAAAAAGAGAAGGAAAAAAATCCCAGGTCCAAATCAGTGGATGCTAAGGTAAAGATATATATTATGTCTGAAGTCTAATTATGATGAAGCACACTTGAATTGACATGGTTTGATTATTCTTTAGACACATCCTAGTCAAGAGTAGTTTTATTATTTGCAGTTACAAAAAACAACTTGATATGTATTTCAGAAATCTTCTTTATTAAAACGAGAAAAAACAGCTCTAGATATTGAAGTTAGTGATGGTCAGAAACAAGCTATGTTTTCTCAGATTGTACGACAACAACAAAACCTTCAATCTAAAATAACAGATCAACAAAAACAACAGGAAGAAAATGTAGGCATCTCTTTTTATACGCCCACATTATAATGTAGTCTTATATATTGTGTTCTTAGTGTGAGCTGAGATATTCAGCTTTTGTTTTGTTCTTTTTTCAGCCCATTTCGTCTGGTATTATTCCTGATGAACAGTTTATTCCTGATGAACAGTTGATTTTCTAGTGAATGAAATACTAGAGTAACAATTGATAAGCATATATATTTTTGTGAAAACTTATGGCTTATATCAAAAAGGGCTGTTGGTCATAATTTGTTCTGATTTAAATTTGACATGTATATTAAAGATAAATTTGAATTTTTAGCTTCAGAAACGTCTGGCTGCAAAGAGAAATCAAAATGAACAAGCTGCAGCATTAGTCAATTTAGGAGAGAGACAAAAAACTATTTTAGAACAAAAGGTGAGTTATATTGAAATATCATGTTACCAACAAATATTATCTTACTCCCAACAGTTGAATTTTGATGTTTATCGTCCCTCTATTGACAAACTATTTTAATTCTCTCATTTCAGAATGGGACAGACAAAAGTCAAATTAAAGTAGAGAAAAGTGGTAGAAGTAAATCATCTGATAGAACATAAGTTTATTATATTTCAAGAAAATAGTAACATCTCCAATGGTAAATATTAACCAAAATAAAAAAAATTAATGGAATAAATATTCACTGGAGTAAATGAATATTGCAAATCTATAAAGTATTCAGTTTGGTTTCACTTATTGTATGGTTTTTTTTTGCTGGTATTAGGCACACTTATATCATTCTGATTCTAAATTTATTGCAACTTTAATTTAACATGTTACTGATGTAGGGTTTATATTTCTATTACTAAATTTTTTTCATTTATGCAATTGTCTTTCAAGTGCAATTTCTTGTTTTTAATCAAAAACGTGATTATTATGAATAATTATAATCTTTGTTATTTTTAACCAGATTTTGAAATCAAAATGTGTGTATATGTAAGTTCTCTAAAAGGTTTATTACTTTTGAGTAATGATATTGTTTGATTGTGAATTTTGTCTTTAAAAACTGTGATATATTTCTACTGTTATGCAATAAAAATAATATATTGATGAAAATTGTTTTCGGTGTCACTGAAAAAAGAGATAGCTTGCCAGGCTAGAAAACATAGTCACAATTCAGCAATTAGAGAAAAAGAAAAATGAAATACAGTGAAGTAACTAATAAACCCTCATTGAAAAAGTGTCATCTTCAAACTTGTCCCAAGCAAATCTCTAGAATTTCAATTCAATTTCTCCAATGTTATTAGGAGAACCCTCTCAGACCCATTGAGTCGAAAGGCTGACACGGCATAGTCTGAAACATCTGCCTCTATTCCAGCCTCTGATATATAATATTTGACAGTTATCAGCTGGATTAGATTCAGAAAAGCCCTGTTTTATTGGGATTTTCCAAACTTCCGCAGATGGTTGTTTTTTTATAATGTAACCAAGCTTTGTGTTAAGCTCAATAAATACTTCAAGTCAATCTGGAAAGCTCATTTGTTGGAAATACCTTCATGTGATATATACAGAAATGACTTAAAGCATTTATCCATATTAAATGATATCCATACGAGTGAAATTTAGAAAATGAATTAAAAATCAGATCAAGGTCCAGTAGAATATTGTACATTTTTGGTATTTTATATTTTTCACAAAATAATATTTAAAAACTCTAACCACTCTCGCGATAACGAAATACTGTAAACAGAAGTCTGATTGAAGTAATATCAGGAACAACGGCATCTATTAACATTTTCTCACCTGGCCTGGGAGTCCAGTGAAATAACATCAGTGTCTCGTGTCATAAAGACACAAATTACAAATTGTGCAACATACAGGAGTTAAAATTGATTGACATACGGGCCCAATTGAAATGCAAAGAAGAAAGGGGGATAGCTGTGATGTAAGCTCAAACAGTTGCCTTAATGTTAACTATTCGAGTGGCGCTTCCAATTCCTTTGTGATGTGTCTACAGTGGTATTTTTGACAACTGACATTTTCACGGTGGGGGTTGAGAATGAACGAAATTTGATATTATGTAAAATCAGTAGTCAGGGTAACGTATTTCCTGAATTCTGAAATTTGACACGAGACGAAATAAACTAGAATATGTAGGTCGGTATTAAGAATATTTACCATTATCTTGGCACCAGCAGAATTCACAGTAACAGGAATATAACAGACATACCCAATCTTGAAATTTATCACGGCAGAAATACGATGGCGTGAACTTTAGCTATTGGAATTAAGTTGATTATATTTAAGCAGTTATCTGGTGTATATAAAGAGAAATACTGGTGAATATCAGTGTTATTCCACAGTTGTAAGTGGGCTATATTAGCCATATAACACGCTTCATACAGTGATATCTAACAGTAGATAAGTACTTTACTGATGGTATGTTTTAATAACTTTCATAAATATTGTGCTATTAATGTATCTGGAGGTGTAGAATATTTATCAACGTATGGATGTATGATTTGAGCCGGCGTGTTTTAAGATAAGAAAATTGAATCATTTGATTACACTACACGTTGAGTGGAATATGTTGCCTATAAATATATACCAGTAGTAATTTTCATCATCTCAAATTGTACTCAAAGTAGGGATTAATCATCACTGAATGCAAAACTTTTGAAATATCATAAAACAACTGGAACCCCAATAGCAGGAATTTGAAATTTATCTTGGTTTAAAGAATAGAGCAACAGTATAGTTGGGGTTAACAGTCTTCGTGGAATCTGGAATCCTAATCATATTTGAACCGTGCCTCTTGTACGTGAATTTCAGTGTCGAAAATTATATACATTTTATGCCTTGCAGTAAACCATAATCCCTCCAACGTTGCTTTGTATATGGAAATTCTAATCCAGTCTCCAACGTGTGCTTCTTAAAAAAATAATAACAACCAGAATCATATATTACAACGTTTTATAGAGTATTTAAGAATGTGGATTATAAACTGAACATTACAGAAAAAGCCATAATGACTGGTAAGTATTTAAATTGTGCATATTAGTTCTGCCGTAGAATAGAACGTGGGAAGTGTTGCAAATAGAAATACATTCAAGTATAGAGTAGTCCTTAAACCCCAGGTTGTTTGTTGTGTATGAAAACAGTTTGAGAAGAGATAACAAACGTTGCTAAATATTTCTTTCTCCATCTGTTTAGTGCATGTTAAAATGGTTAAGACATCTTCGGTTAACATAAAAATAAACAGATACCCACATTTCATTAGTAGACAAAATAAACATGGCTTACTTCAAATTGGTGCCTGTTGGCTATGCAGTTCATCAATTTTGTAAATGATAGAATACATGTGTGTCTACATAAGTCGTATTCATATTTTCTGGAGTTTGACTCATCAAAGTTTAGAACTATTATCAAATTTTGAAGATCCGCTTTGTAATGACTTATTAAATGATAAAGACATAAGATGGTGTTCTATCCTGGGAAGCTTTCATTGAAGGCTGGATATGAATTTATAATGTCAAAAGGACCTTGCAGTTTGTAATCGACAACTTTAAACAGATATTAGTGTTTTTCTGTAAATAGCCACAAATGATATAATTATGGCATCAATTGCCTGTGGGCCTATTACAATTGACCTTTATCACAAGTGTTTTATGATTCCCCTACTACAAACACCAATAGTGTACCGTATGTCAAATATAGGCCTACTCGTCATCTCTCTTAGTTGTTTCCATGTTCATTCCAAAAAATATCTGTGCCAAAATACCAAACTAATACATTAGAAAAATCCCACATTCTGACTAATAGCCTATTAAAAACACCACGAAATTTACATCAATGAGATGATCTCTCTTCAACGAGCCTGTTGAAGACAATGTTTTCGTATTAATTGTCCCCCGACGAAAGGGTGGGGTAACAAGTGGCTTCATGGCTTCATACAAGCTTACTTTACGGTAACATCCAGTCCTGTTGACCATGAAATAAACCTAATATTTTTATATTGCAGAAGATAAATATATACCTCGCAATGAGAATTTTGAAGAGATCAAACTTAAATCAAACATAGATAAGAAGCTTCCAGATAAAGAAGACAATTCTGTAGTTATCAATCAGCCAACGAGACCCAAGAAATTATCAAGGGTTACTCTGAACATGCCATTTGATGATGCTCATTGTGAAAGAGAATGGTCAACAGGATTATACGATTGCGGTAAAGATGATAGACGAAATTGTAAGTAGTGTCGGGGCTTCGATTGGCTGTATTCACTGGCGTACAATCCAATCAAATCGCTGCATTCCGTTATACAAGAAATGGCTATTGAAGTCAATGTATATGACGATGTTTATAATAGCTTGACATTGCTTAAATGACAGGCCTTCCAGTCGACTCTAACGCTATTTTCACTTGATAACTTCACAAACATTGCTCTATCACTAGAGGTTACGCCTACATGCCTGTGCCTGTGCTTTCGTAACATTGCTTAACCGCAATGTTACAACCTAAAATTCCTATTTACAGGTTTCAACGAGTGATTTTTAGTGTGGGTTTAGACTGGAATAACTCTGATATATATGAACAAAAATTGTTGTCATTTTTTCTTCAAATAATCCACTAAAGAACATAATTATCTCACTTTACATGTACATGTGTCTTTCCAGGTTGTTTTCAGTGTTGTTGTTGGCCATATCTAAGATATACCTTGGCCACTAGACTGGGTGAAACACCGTTTATGGCCTTATTACCATGTACAGCTTTTGGTTTAAGAGTTAAAGTGAGAACCCTTTTCAGTTTGAAGGTATGTTTATCGAGGCATTCTTACCATATGGGAATTGACAAAAAGTTATGGGATATTGAATGGAAATTAATGTTGTAAGAATGATTTTGTTTTGATTAAACTGCAAACATTTTAAGATGTTCATTCAGAAGAGTGTTATATATATATAGTAAATAAATTTCAAGTATATCTACAGGAAACGCGATAGACACTCATGCCTAATATTAGAGGGCTTTGCTCTGGAGCTCATAGATGTAACTTGATACCATATCCTAGAGACATTAGGCATTTGATATCATTTCAAGGTTGTTTTATCGGAATCGCTGAAATTAAAAGCATGATATTCCAGTTTTGAAGTGATCCACAATAGCAATCTTGATTCATTTCAGGGAAATTTAATAAAAGATTTTTTTGCTACATTATGCTGTGAACCTTGCTCAATTTGTCAGATGAGTCGTGAACTGGATGATATAGGAATGTAACTATTAATTCGATTACCTGTGCTAAAGCCTATACTGCTTCCTGGTTGGTTAGTCTACCACCATCTGGTCATAGTTGGTTGGTAGATGAAAAGTTATAACTCGCTACCAGTTAACTGTTAACCCAAACTAGTGCTTCTTGCTTGTCCGTTTCACAATAATAATAGTACTAAAATAGTACTGGAAACGGATCACGGAAAAGTGGTAAAGAAGTATTCAAGAATGGGCCAGGATTATATGGAGCTTTATACAGATTTTTTCAAATTGCTTACGATATTTCTCCATGCTCATTCAGCAGACTTGGAGAAAAAAACAACCCATTAAATTCATCATTATTGTCACACTGTAACCTATTATTTTTGTGTAGTAATAAATGTCGTGTATCTGTTCGCCGTGTTGTCTGTATCAATAATTCAATCTGATGTAAAATAAAGTTTACTCAGGTCAGTTATGTTAATAGTTGAACCTTGCTGGAAATACAACTCCATCTCTCTTGAACACGTCGATATAGCTATTAAATATTTTTGTCATTTGCTGTAGCATGTCTTCCCACATCGCCCCTTCCCAATTCCCAGGCATATGTCGATAAATGCCTTCGGATTTTTCAACCTGGTTGAATTCGAGTCCTGTGCGTATATTACCGGGCAGTACTGGGCAGCTGGGGAAGAGGCGAAGTGGGAATAATGGGCGAAGTGGGAATAATGGGCAAAATGGGAAGGGGGTAGAACGTGACAGGGAAAAAATAGAAAAAAGGGCGAAATGGAAAAGGGGAAAAATAAAAAAAGGTCAAATTGAGAAGGGACATATGCCTAATGGGGAAGGCGAAATGGGAATAATTTGGAGGCGAAATGGGAATAAATTGATTGACAGAGGTCTGACTTCCGGGACCGGGGATCGCTTTCTGAAGATCGATTCGATAAAGAAATATAAGCTAAGTCTACAAGTTTGTTATGGGTTCAAAAGTCTCTGGGACGATTTGGGACAGAGATTCACTATTCAGGTGAGTAGAGCAGACATCAAAATATGGGTATAAAAATGATCTACTCCGTATTATTGCTTCGTTCGGCTATTATAATTTTATGTCTATTCCAGAATTTGTTCGGAAGCGTCCTTGAACTTTGTTCAATAGAGCCCAGAAAGTAAAAGTAAAGTTAAGAAGAGCTACTATTTTCTTCTCTAAAATAAGAATTATTGCACTTGATTTACCTTCTTATTATATAGATCTATTATAGTAAGGTACTCATTTTACATCCCCCTCTATAGATATGCGAATGACCATTGCTGATAAGGAAATTAATGTGTATGCCAGTACATACCTTAGATTCATTATAACCCATTTGGGTTGGCACCAGAACATTGCAGGCTCTTGGTCATTTTGCAGACAGGAATTGTAAATGATAGTCAGTGTGATTATTGTAATTGTGTTAACACCATTGATATTGTGTTTGTAGTAAAAATCAGTCAGGTCGAGTAGAAAAATTAATTGAATATTGTATTATTTAGGTTTGATATGTACATTGAATAATGGCATCTAGAGGACAACAAGAAACTGGAAAATTAAAACAGAATTTGGAAGAACAATTAGATAGATTGGTACAACAGTTAACTGATTTGGAAGAATGCAAGTAAGTTATGATAATTCATATGATAATATTATGATATATTTATATAAATAACTCAAGACTTTTATATTTGATGGAGTTAAAACATGTATATCTTGCCTTTCTTAGCTTTTATGAAATTATAGTGGATATATGTATTTTGTAGAGATGATTTAGAGGAAGATGAATATGAAGAAACAAGAAATGAAACAATTGAACAGTTGAAAGAATTTAAAGAGTCTTTGGATAAAATGATGGAAGGCAATCTGAGTTTAGTTAGTTCATTAAATGGAATGCAATTGGTATGCATTGTCTTTGTATCTCAGTTTTTCAAGAAATGTTTATTGTCTGAGCAAAGTAAAAAGTTTTGAATTTTTTCTGTATTTTTGAACAGAATAGAAATATTAGTCTCAAAATATTACTGTTAGTCTTAGAATGTCTTTGCGTTTATAAAACTATCATCTTTTGTAAGTTTACATTGAAAAGAAACATGTTTCTCTCCTAGAAATTTCAACCCTAAAAAGTCTAAAATTTTGGCTGAAAATTGTCAGTTGTAAAAACAAATTTTGAAGACATAACGCGTGCTTATACTTATATTTCCATCATTGCAAAGTCATTCTACTATTTTGAGGCTGAATGGCTGATATTCCAATTTTCTTAAAAATAATGGGAAAAATTCGAAAACTTTTTACTTTGTACAGACAATAGTGTCGTTTACTGGTTAAATCGCTGTCCATGAAGGAATCTTTCTGTCCATATTTAATTGAATGTGTAATACATAAAGAATAGAAATCTGTTCTGGATTACCAGTATAACAACTTTTTAAGGATCCTGAGCCTTAGCTGAAATATTAAATGTGGCATGGAGATTTAAAAAAGTTGTGCTTTCTAAGGTATTAATGAACCAAAGCGGGGGCAATACTCATAATTAATATTTTTTGATTTTTGATACAGTCCATCCTTGGGTGATAACAGTAAACAATTTCACCACATTTCCTTAAAATCTGTCAAATATGAGTGTATAAAATGTTTACAAGCAATTCTGGTGATAATAATATATGCTGCACATTTCACATATGGGAGTATACGTTTATCAAACCCAAACACTTTGTTTCAGGCCATTCAAGCTGCAATAAGTCAAGCTTTTAAAACACCAGAAGTTATTAAATTATTTGCTAAAAAACAACCAGGACAATTACGACAGAGATTAGCTGAGGTTTGTGGAGTTTTTGTGTTGATTTATTTTTACCTTTAAAGGGACAGGTGCGCCATTGTTTTTGAACAATCATATTTTTGTCTCAAAAAAGGAAATTTTTTAGCTAAGCAAATCAGTCAATCAGTAATAGTGTTGTTCACCATCAAAATTTGAGCCTTATAATCATAGTGTATACAGGATTATCCACGTTTGAATGTTAACATGACGACTCATCGTTTTAAGATACTCTGTGATATATAGAAAAGACATATAGTGAGTAAAATTCCTAGTTTGAAGTATTTTGAAAGGAATTATGTGATTTTTGTACATTTCTAGTACTTCTGATGACTATTTACATATTTTCAGGACCACAATAGCCCACCTGTCCCTTTAAATGTTTTCTGAATGGAGACAGGCATTGTCATATCTACTCTGCATTACTAGGTTTCAATAATTATACAATGGTAACCATTATATACTGTCGAAAATCAAGAGTGTGTGATAGTTATAACAGGATTTATAATTCCTTTATTTTCAGATTCAAAGAGATACAAAGATTGGTAAAATGTCAAGTGATATAGCTACAGATCAATCAGTAGAAATATTAACAGCTTTAAAAAAATTAGGTGAAACTTTAACACATGAAGAAGAGGCTTATTTACAATCCAATTCCTCAGCAAGTCTCAAACAATTTGAAAAAGTTTCAACCGTTTTAGGTTTGTTATTTCTATTTTTGTCACATCTCTCCCTATGTATGTATATTGTCGTCTCCCATTTCTATCTGTCCACTCATATTTCCTCAAAAATGCTCTAGAATGTACAGTTTTTGTCTGCTATGAAAAATATTGCATGACTTACTTGGTATAAGTTCTTGTTTTACCAATATCTTGCAAAAATGATAACTTCTTTCTTCTTGATCTAATTCATTCAATTATTTTTATTTCTATTATTTGATTGCAATATACAACAACACACAGGAGCCACATGGTTATACCTATAAGCATAAAAATCTGGGTCCCTGTTTCGGTTCAGATTTATCTGATCCAATAGTTTTTTAAAGTATTTTCTATTTTATTCTTTTTGCCTCATCTATTGATAAGGAGACAAATATTCAAAATCAGATACAATTTTTATTTCAGCATCTAGTGATAAGGTTTTAGCTGTAGCAGGATCACAAGTAGAAGAAGCAGCCAGATAAAAGCCACATTTATTGAAAGCAATATTCCATTATACAATATTATGTTCCATAACAAATGCTTTGAAATATATTATCAGGATATCTTTATAGGGAAGTAGTCATTAAATCATTAATCATCTTAAGGTGCTCAAGATCAAGTTTTTTGTCTGAATTAATATCTGACATCGAAACTGATAATAATCAAATATAAATGTACTTACTAAGTATAAATGATGCTGGCATTATTACATGCAGATATATATGCTGCAATTGATGATGACTTAATGCTCTTGCAACTGTCATCAAGTTTCTGTTTGTGATAGATGAACAAAAAGCATCATACTTCTGAAAATTGATTGAGTTGAGCTTTATCTCCTGCTCTTCAAATATATGAACCACTATGAAATACTGAAGGTTGTTCCTTTTATTCCTTTCGTCAAAATTGTCTTCTCTAAGTTTCAATATTTTATTGTTTTTATTATGTATAGTAATTGTACTTATTATGATGTAATGTCAAATGTTTGATTAGTTTTGTTGTGAATCTTTTAAACCAACATCAAGTGTTGTGGTTCTTAGTGCAACTATTATGATTAATGATTAATTCTAAGGTGAATTCTTCACTTACAACAGTCAAACATCACATGTGTGTGGAAAGTAAAGGCTCTTTAGCAGTTATATTTTTTGCAGTATTGTTAGAATTGATTATTACAATATCTGTTTCCAGCAGTGAAATATATTGAACATGAAATAATGCAGTTTATTTTGAAATTGAAACTACTATTATTGTGTTCATTTCTATTTAAACTACCTTAAAGTAAATTGACTGATCATGTGTATTTTTAATTTTCACCCAAATGTGCATTATTGCCTTCATTAATCTTTTACTAAGTGATTCCATTTGATAATAATTTCACGTTGTTGTTAAAATGTTCCGTAAGTCCAATAATATGTTTTAGCCTGTATATAACATGTCAATATGTGTAATAATTATTCTGTTAAGAAATCTTATACATCAATTATAATATTTATTCCCTTTTATGTTTATGACAGTTTACATTTACATCTTTACAATGTCAGGGTATGACAAATGTGTCGAATACCTTGACATCATTAGGCACTTTTCTTCTGTAAATCAAAAAATATTGTTATTTGCAGTCTGTCAATGTTTCTTATAGACTAATAAAATCACAAATTTGATACAAGAAATGTGCCTATTGATGTCAAGATAATAGTTCATAATAACATGTCATTGTGAGGATAACCATGTCTATGTGTTATATTAATGATTAAACATTGTTGATATATCAGCTCANAACATCTGATGAAAAGACAGTTATTCTCATTTCCTGCCCTTCCAACTAGAAAATAAACCAACAGTGTAACTTCTTGGATACTTTTAATAATATTACAATGGCAC